GTGAATCAGGCATAATGCTGCATTTTATGTGTTATAACTTGGTCTTAAACAGCCTCATTATTCATGCTAATTAAGTATTTGTTTCAGCAAGACGACTTCTTTACTTGTGGCTGCACATGTCAGGAGTGTGACCACTTCAGGAATCATCAGTCGTCTCTTTCACCCAGGAAAACGTTTAAGTGTCACATCATACTGGAAGTTACGGACAGAAGCTGAAAACATTATTACCTCTATATAAATAACTGATGAATAAAATAACTAATAATAAATCATTAAACAATAGAATTTGATTTGTACATCCATTATCTTACTTCCTAAAAGGCTGAACTATGAATGACGTATGAGGTAATAGAAAAAAAAAAACACCTTCAGACACTCTAAGCCCTCGTCTAGACAGCATCAGGAGCTTCCCTGTATGATTACAGAATATTTGTCATGTGCACAGTACTTGTAATTTCTGAATCAGAAGCCTGTAAATGTTTGGTAGCAGAAATGATGTAGGGTGTAGATTCATGCCGTGGAAAATAAAAAAAAACAACATTTGGTGATTTGCCTGGTAATTATAACTGTGTTGTAAGTATAACGGGTAAGTATAACGGTGTTTGCTCTTTATTGAAAACTGGAATCATGATCAGAGCACGTTCTCTCAGATGAATTAAACAAACAGACTTGTGATTAGTGTCGTCTGAGCAAACAGATCATTGTGGATGTTTCATTTACCCGGTTCGGTTCACCAGTTTTAGTCCTATATTGCCTCGTATCATTTGTGTGTTTTGAACTTATATTTTGAGCTCTGGGCTGCCTGGTTAGGAAGGAAATACATAAAAAACACAGTTTATAATATAAAAACACATCATATCACTGCACTACAGTCTCATCTAAAGAGAGCCTTTAGAGGAGGAAGTGGTCTTTGTATTTCTCGCCAGAAATAAGAGCTTGAAATTTCTCTTTTTTGTAGAGGCCGGTATGATGTTCACTATTCATGTTGCGTGTAGCCAAGACATTTTTATCTATCAAACACAGCAAAATATCCCCATGACTTCAGGTTGCAGACATCTGGACAGATATCTGTAAGCACCAGAAAGAGCAATTAAACAACCTCTGCAGCTCACGCACTACAGGAGCTATGAGTGAGAGCATCTCCTCGTCTGACGTTCCTCTGGCACTCTCAGCTCAGAGGGAGGCTTGACGACATCTGCACAAATAGAGCAGCTATTGAATATAATTTCCCTGCCTGAAGTCTCGGGGGATTCACTTCAGGCTTATAATTAGCAGCATGCACCGTGCATTCAAATCAGTGTATTTGTTTTCCCGTTACACGGTAGAATGTATACACCGCCGCACAGCTGGTGGTGGAAACATCGAGCATTTTCATACAGGAAAAAAATGTTTCATTTAACACGGCTAAATAATATATGAAAATGTGTTTAAGGTATTTATTTACCACATCCAATTCTGTCATCACCTTAGGGGTGTGACTCCCCAGAGGCCCCACGATACGATATGATCACGATACTTGACTCCCGATTCGATATTATTGAGATTCCAAACATTTTGCGATATGCTGAGAATCGCCATACAATATATTGCGATTTAATTTATTTTATTTAACTGTGTATTTTATCCACAAAAAATATAACTAAGGGGGCACTGGTGGCATAGTGGTTAGTGCGTGCGCCCAATGTTTGGAGGCTGTAGTCTTCAAAAGCGGGCGGCCCGGGTTCAAATCCGACCTGTGGCTCCTTTCCTGCATGTCCTTCCCTACTCTCTCTCTCTCTCTCTGATTCACGACTCTATCCACTGTCCTGTCTCTCCAATAAAGGCACAAAAATCTTCCAAAAAAATCTTTAAAAAATAAAACAAATCACTTTTTATTTCTACACGAGAGCCCGCAGACTGACCAACACTGTGAGCAAAGTCAGACCCTGAAAGAGGCTGCATGCTCCTCACAATCTGAACTGTTAGTATTTCAGCCTAAATCAAACTTAACTGAACACAAACATGTACGGACGACCGAGCAACCCCTTTAGTAATTAAAAACTAAAAAAGCATATTTTCTATAAATATGGATACCTGGGAGCCATGAATCCAGATAATATATCGCAGCACAAATGTACCATGCTGTATTGATTGCCCCCTCACCTCTACTGGTTATAAGAAGATTCTTCATCGACCTTTCAGGTTTGAGGAAGTGTTACCTTTTCCAAAGAGGAGGAAGAAAACACCCAAACCCTTCATGGATGCAGCTTTCAGCACGTTCTATACAAATCATCATTGGCCTTTAATGCACACTGTCATTCATAAAATACACTTCAGGTTGTATGTTTGCCTTTACACCATCCTTCAGTGTCTCTGCAGTTCTTATTATTCAGCATGGCTGGATTAAGTTTTTTTGTTTTAATTAAACATGTCCCAGAAGTGTTTTGAATCAGCATCCTTTGGATTTATTTACAGTTCATGTTCTATTGAGTCTCTTTGTATTTTAATCACATGTAGTGTTAATGTCCTGTATTTATATATCTGTGCTTTTTTATAACGATATGGACCTATGGGTCTGAAATGAAGTATAAAGTATTGTGATGCACATTCAGTTAGAGGAGAAGAAGTTGAGGCCGGAGCAGAAAGTGAAATCTAATGAAAACAAACCTGTCATGATTTGGTCTTTTTTAGTTTTGTTTTTCAGTGTTTAGTGCTTCTTTATGTTCTAGTGTGTTTTGTTCATTCTTGAGTTCTGTGTGTCTTCAGTGTTTCATGTATTTATTTTGTAGTTCTCCTCAGTGTTTCTTGTCTTGTGTTCATTCCTTCCTCTGTGTGTTTCCCTCCAGTGTTGGTGGCCCTGATTGTCTTCACCTGTGTTATTAGTCTCACCTGTGTCTGATTACCCCTGTGTCTATTTAGTCTAAGTGTTTCTTCCCTTCTGTGTCAGTTAATTGTTTGTGGTGGTATGTTGTTACTTGGTATGTCAGTTTTTGCTCGTGCTCCTCTGTGGCTACCTGTTTTTGATCCCTGTGTTTTTTATTGAATTTTGGAAGTAGTTTTTGTTTGCCTTTTTGTTTATTAAAGACTTTCAGTTCATTCTGCACTTGGGTCCACCTCTACTCATTGTTTTACACACCGAACCGTAACAAAACCAACTTTAGATAAATACAAATAAATGAAGTTTATGCTCATGTTTGCCTGACAGTACATTTACTTCTTAGCAGAAAGTTTCTCTGTCACAGAACGTCAACTTTTTCAACAGTTTTGTCCTGAATTAAAAATAACTAGCTACAAAGATTTGATGATTTCATGGTTCTGACTGACGTAGATCTTTAAATAGAATAAATCCCGTACAATAACTCGGTCTGTATTATTTCATGCATTCAGAAAAGACCAACAAAAAACACCTCAAATATCTTGGAATAACATTAAAAGTCATTTCAACCACATTATTTTCTCACAGAAAAGAGATATTTAGATGTAGTCCTTCGACACTGAAGGCAACATTTTACAACGGAGTATACAGGCCACATTACAGAAAACAAAATCTAACATTTAAGATTAAAGCCTTAAAATTACAGGAATACAGTTGTTAATGTATGATAAATTTGTAAATGGATTTGATTTATCTTTGTTTATCATTCTAAAAGGTTGTATCAGAAGAGCAGTCATCTGCCTACAAGGAAATGATCAAAGACATTTCAACTTCCACAAGAGAGACTGAGTCAGTGCAGTTCTTCTCTCTGGAAATGCCCAGTTTGTTTCTGTTTCTTTTCAGGGTCCTGATACTCGACATGACAATGTGAATCTGATGTGTTAAAAGATGAAGTATTTCCTTATTTGTGAAACCTTTGCTAAAGTATAACTTCATAAGATGCCTCATGAGCCTCATATTTGTACCGAGGGCTGCTCCTCTTCTGGTAGAACTAAAAACTAAACATCTTTATTCTCGTAAATTTACGACTTTCATCTCAAAATCTCAGATTTGTTCCCCCTTAATGTGGCCCTAATTCTATTTTAGAAACATTATAGTGAAAATTGGAAAAACTAAACAAAAAACCCTCTAAAATCTGGTCTTTGTGATGAACGACCTTGTTCTTAGTTTGAACTCGTTCTTAGTAAGTAGTTCTTATCACTCTACTCAACTTGCTTCTTATTACAAGGAATCCAAGCCTCATTTTCTGCTTTTAATTTACTTTTTTGTGATTTTAATTTGTGTGTGTGACTTCTCAGTTGTTGAAGTTCGTATTAAGTGACAAGAAATGATGAAAATACACTTGCAAAGATTTGAGTTTTTGCAGTAAAATATTGGAGTTTTTCTACTTTAAGTTTGAAGGAAACTTGACGAGTTCCATATTTCTCTTCTGTTGTCACATACACATGTTTATTTCAAGGAATGTCTTTATATTTCTAGGGTTAGTGACCAGGGTGGTAACAAACCACTGTCGATGATTCAGTCTCAAAAACGACACCAAATATTTAGAGAGATAAAAAAAGTAGAGAAAGAAGAAAGAGGATCAGTCCCTCTGTAAGTCTGTTCTATGAAATGAATTTATACAAAATGTCATCGTAAAAGACTTTTGGCACTAACTTATAACGTAGCTCATTCAAGAGCACACACATATCCCCCCTTCCTGTTTGACAACCTTTGACACAGACCATGTGTTTAATGTCAGCTTACATCCCCTCTCTACTTATGGAACAAGCACATTATCCATCTTTATACCATCTGTTACTTTGTCTTAATGTATACAACAACACAAGTGATGTCTCCTCTACAGGTCATAAAGTGATAGAGAGAGAGAGAAGGAAAGAGAGAGAGAGAGAGTAGGGAGGAAGAGAGAGAGAGAGTAGGGAGGGAGAGAGAGTAGGGAGGGAGAGAGAGAGGAGAGAGAGAGAGAGAGCACATATGCATGTAAATGAGCTCATAGCTATCGCTGGTACAGCTGATTGGCTGTACACTGTCCCCCCCTCAAAATAAAGAAAAAAAAGAAAAAGACAAAATAACCATCATTTCTTACCGTGGTCTCGTCCTCGTGCAGCACCTGGTCGTATCCACTGAGCGCCACGCAGAAAATGATGGCTGTGACATCCTCGAAACAGTGGATCCACTTCTTCCTCTCCGACCGCTGACCTCCCACATCAAACAGCCTGATGGACAAAAACACACACGACATCACACAAACAATCCTTTTACAAAGATGATTCAATTCTCATGAGACTTCCTGGTATTCCCTTTCAGCTGTAGATTTACACTGTCTGGTTATGTTTTATCTTTCTATGCAGATGTGGAGGGATGGTCACTTCTATCACCTGACTTTAGTTTCTGTTTCCCTTTTCTTTTTTTCATGGCAGGGGTCCAGTAGTATCACACGTAAACATCCAGTCTTATTTCACAGCCAGAGCAGTTTTTTTTAAATCTCAAAAACACTTTAAGGGTTAAGCAGCTCACTTGTTTTTTTCACACCCTACTGTGATCGACTTGCCCTCATTTCATACCTTTTTTTTCTTATTGAGTGTTTGGGAATCCCCCTCAGATACTCTAAAGTATATACAAGAGACCTTTTTTATTCTTTTACATCATAATAGAAATGTTATACTGTGAATTTTCATAAATGTCATGTGAGGCTACACTCGGTCAAAATGAGTGTGTGGACATTTCCTTGGCCTACATTAGCCATATGAAATGTACACCAATCATCACACATTCATCAATCAGAACTCATCAGCTATCGCCTGACAATGATGGATCCTCTGAGAGCGAAGGCCATCTTTCAAGGACTTCAAGTGAATGATGCTTAGATGCACTTGCACATAGAAGTATGTTTATGGAGATTGAACACAGAAGCCCTGTACAGATTGAGGTGCATAAACAGCGCCGTAACAAAGTTCTGCAGTCATTACGCCTTTGAACATTTCAGCCCTGACGGCGTGATAGTGGCGTCCCAGGGTGTGAAGTACCATTGCATCACAACGCTGTGTAAGGCACAGCGTGTGAACACACAGAGGGAGCTTTACAAACACACTCAGGCACACACTAAAAACAGTTTTGCTTTGCCGGCTCGTCCATTACACATAGCCACCATCTTCCCCTGATTCCTTCCTGTTACTACCTGCAAAGACAGATCAGCGTGGTAACGACTTCACGCCTACATGAATGACACATTGAATGTGAGACGTAACAGGAGTGAGCTCACCTTCAACTGGCAACCTGTAAGCTCTAATGGACTATATCTTGGCATTAAAAAATGCATTTTAGAGAGAGAGAGAGAGAGAGAGAGAGAGAGAGAGAGAGAGAGAGAGTGAGGGAGGGAGAGAGAGAGAGGGAGGCATCCTTTACTACAGCCCTCCTGTTAATGCTTAGACTGAGATGCAATAAGAAATATGAACCATCTCACATTGTTTCAAAGGTTTTGTAGAGCAGCTGATTCTGTTGATACAGATTTCATATGTATCTGACAGTCTTTAAGTGATATTTACTGGTCAGAGATAGATTGTCAGATGCAATCATCTTGGACAGTTGTTGTGCAGCGGTGGCTCAGTTGGTCGGTCAACCAGGAGGTTGTGGGTTTGGATCCCAATCTCCTGCAGCAACACTTAACCTCAAATTGCTCCCACTGCTTTATTAGCGGCGTATGAATGTGTATTAGTTACTTCTGATGGTCACTTTACAGCAGTGATACTCAACCCGAGGCTCATTTGGGACTAGTTGGAAAAAAACAAATCCAAAGTCATTATTTAAAAAAGGGAAAAATTGTCAGCAGAAATGATTCTTTGCAAGTCATGTCACTGTGTTTCCCACACATATTTTAGATTGTTTTGATTGATTGATTTTTTGATTGTGGCTCTTGCAGAAATATTTTTTGGTCAATGTGGCTCTTCAGTCTAACAAGGCTGAGTACCACTGCTTTACATAGTAACCTCTACCATCAGTGTGTGAATGTGTAGGTGTGACCTGCGGTGTTAAAGCTCTTTGAGTAGTCTGAAGACTAGAATAGTGCGATACATTTACCATTTGTTGTCACACAGTTCAAAGATACCTAAATGCTGAAGTGGCATCATTTCACCACAGAGAAGAGTTTTCAAGAAATGGGTTGTGTATTGGTTTGAGACACTTAAATACCTAATTTCATTCTTGCAGCATAAAACACTGACCTGTTTTCTTTTGATCAGAAAATAATTTGTTTCTATCTAAGATTAAATGGACATTTTGAATCCAGACATGTTGGCCTTTCAATTAAAACCCTGTAGTTATATTTTTGTGTTTTAAAAAAATAATAATTGTTTGAACCACTGCTAGAGTGGATGGTTATGATGGTAGGTAGGTTCATAGGTCACACCCAAAACAGGAGCACTGTAGTCGCCCACACACTGCCTGACTCCCTGTAATAGCAATGGAACTGAAAATATGAAGCCTTCTCAACAAAACACACAGCGCCTACTCGACTGCAGGAGTAACAGCAGAGAGCATCATTCAGCAATCATTTCAGCGCATGACTGCGATGATTGGTGCCACACAGTTATTATCTTTGTGTGTATGTGTGACAAACACTGGGACAGAGAGAGAGACTCAATTGCAGTGCGATGGAGAACCCATCCAGATAAATAACTGTTTGTTTTTTTCAGTTTATTAACCTTCCCCGCTCTGTGTGCCTGTCAATACTTTTGAATGTGTGTGCGTGTTTGTGTGTGCACGAGGTCAGATAAAAACTCCTCCCTTTTTCTCTCTTTTTTCACCACCCAACCCTCCTCTCTGTCATCATTCCCACGGCTCCTTGCTCTAAGTGAATTAGATCTCATTAAAAATAACAGACTATCATAAATATAGACACTTGTTCAAAGCATGTAATCGTATTAATTACAGGCTGGAGTGCTTCTTTATGTGGCATTGAGGAAGAGACACTGCTAAATGAAAAGCGGTACAGGTGAAGGTAAAAGAAAAAAAACAGGCCTGATCTGCAGAAGCAGTACTAACCTGAAGTGGAGGTTTTTGAAGGTGAAGTGTGTCTCGACGATGCCTGTGGTCTTCACTCGGGTCCTCAGGATGTCCTGCTCTGTGGGCTGGTAGTCTGCCGCACCAATCCGATCTAGGCTGTCTAGGTAGCTGCACGAGGAGAAACACAACAAGGACACACGATGTTAAGCAGCAGTAAAAGTAAAGCTTTGAGTCCTTCCTTTGGCTCCAGTTTGACAGACAGTTATAGAAGTGACCAAAAAAAGGGTAGACAACAGTGTATCCAAAAACCTTACAAGACAAAAGGAGCGTAAAATAAACTAATAACTAGTTCTGCAAGGGTTAACACTGAGTGTGCAGGATTACCCAGAGTTGAAGCTAGTCCTGGATGCTAACAGACTTTAAGCTTATAGTGGTGTCCAGTTCTTAATTGGATTTTGGGGAAATTCACACTCCAGCAAACCCAGAAACCGAAGTTAGCACTGTCTCGCAAAAATGTATAATTAGTCTTCCTCCATACTGCCAGGTCAAGAGTCAGAGGAGGCCACTTATTAGAACTCCTTTCACTTCTTCTACATCATATTTCTTTTATTTACTGGGAAACAGATAAGTAAGAGGTGCTTTCAAGCTGTCCCAAAGAGGGTAGTATTTTTTAGATACCCTCAAAAGTTGTTTATCGTTCTGATTCCTGATACCACTCCATTGAATAATAAAGCTTATCAGCCCAAGTCTGCTGAAAAACAAAACAAAGGGTATCTAGAACAGTGAGAAACCTCTTAGTAAGAAGTGAGACAGGAAAGTGAGCAGGCAGGATGACTCTGTTCACTTATGTAATGGAATATCCCTGGAAGTCGACCTTTCTTTTTTAATGTGGAAGTATAAATCAAATCCTCCTGAAGCGTGAACACAGCCATCAGAGGGCAGCTCTCTTGGTGAGGGTCGATCTCTCTACCTGTTGTATTAATCCAGCCTAGCACTCTGCAGAGAACAGGGAGACAGAGGAACAAAAAACTGCTCTGCATGTATTTAACTTTACACCTGTGCACTAAGAAGCTTTTCCTCTGATCGGCTGCCAGGTGTCATGTATTTTCTTGACTCCAGGTGAGATATATTTGTCTAATGCACTTGTATGTTGGTGCCCCCAAACAAGATCAAGACTTGACGTTTCTCAACACCTGACCATCAGACCGTCTGGTTTGAAGAGCATCGACACCTTAAAAGAACACGACTCTGCATGTATGTTTGATTAGCGAGTGAGAGCAGTGGTGTAGCAGAGGTTAGCATTCAGGTTGTCAATCAGACAGTAGGCTTACATTTTTTATTATATTCATTCAACACATGTCAGGCTTTAAACCATTGTCACAAGAACATGGTGCCCTATATGACACACTATAAGGCCTATGCCTTAAAGAGACAGTCATTTTCTTTTTAAAGTGGGCTGTATGAGGTACTTGTTCATAGTAACTATGTTAGTAACAGACAATGCCAGTCAGCACAGCCCTTTTAATGCAAAACCGGTGCAGGAATGGAAGCTATAGGCTATACACCACGGCAGATGAGGCAGATACGTTTTAAGACAAAAAAAAAAAAATCTAAAAATCAATGTCCATGTAACTGGCTGAAAGACTGTACTTCTTGAATAGACTCAGGGTGTTTGGTGTTGACCATAAGATCAGCTTTTTGTTTTATCAGGCAGTGTTGGAGAGCATTCTTAGATACTGTATGTCAGCATGGTAAGGTATCCTCTCTGTTAAAATCAAATCTAAGCTTGCTTGCCGGGTGCAGACTGAAAACCTCTCCCTACAGACAATATATGAGCAGTCTGTTCTCAGACTGAACCAGAGAGTGTTGTCTGACCCGTGTCACATCCTCCACTCTGAGTACGAGCTTCTACCTCCTGGCAGACGATACAGTTGAGTCCCCACGATGTCACCTGAACCGCTTCAAAAACTCTTTTGTTCCCACAGCGATAAAAATTCTAAATAATGTTTCGTAAGGCTATGTGAGTTGTGCAATAGCTTCAAGGTGTCCCCTGTATACTTTTTATATTTCCTTGCCTTTGTTATTTGATCTCTCATGCTGTGTTTTTGCAGATCTTGTGCAATATGGGTAATGTGCAATACATGTTGTGTTGTTCTGTATTGAAACTTCACTTTTGCCACTGCGTAAGCTGTTTGTCTATTTCAGGATTTTCTTACTTTTTTTTTAAGTGTAAGCTCTCAGCAATCTGAATTAGTTTGCCTAAATAACCGTTCAGGTATCACTGGCATTCTAAGCCCACAGACAGAATGACAGTCAGTCAGTAAGACAGGAGAGCCGAAAAAACCCACATCGAGTGTTTATTTGGTGAAATGGTTTCAAGTTTGTGTTTTTTAGGATTTGCCTGAGTGTTGTTTTCTGAGCTTTCAAATGGATTCAGTGTTACTTCCGGGAGAAGCTGAGACAAAGATAAAAGCTAGCAAAACCTTTGCTGATGGTAATAAGGTGACTGGCAAACACATACACATAAATACAGACACACTCACCAGCTTCAGTGAGAAGAACTATTGATTGCACTGTAAGAAATATGGTGCAGAGTTTGAGGTTGGAAAAGGGGAGCTGATAGAGAGAGCTGAAAGGGTGGTGCCAAACGAATGTGTGCCATGAAGATTTATTTAATCTGAGGCACAATAGGGATGTGTGAGTCTGCCCAACCTTACACAAGCTGACGTTTACAACCTTGTGTTGTTATACATGATGGTTTGACACTTTGTCATATATTATATGTAAGCTGTATATGTTCTGGTTTGTGATGTTTTTTGATGGATAATTGAGTATTATAAACACATCAGGTTGAGATCTATGAAATTTAATTTCAAAACGTGTCTTTTTATCACTTTACCATGTTTTATAGACTAAATGATGAAGAGCCTTAAAGCTCACATATAAGGCAAAATAGACTTAATGTTCTTCTAACAATAATATGTGTCTCTAGTCTGTTTACAAACCCCCCCAATGATGAGAAAAGTCCATCCTCTTCTGATCCACTTTTCAGAAAATGTGTGCTCAAACAGGCTGTTTGGAGATTTTCCCTTCATGACATCACAAAGGGCAGTAACCCCTCCCCCAAGTGGGTGACACTCCCACAGCTAGGTGTTTGTTCTGCCCTCTGAGTCTGCCTTCTCACCGTAAACAATAGGACATGGAGCGAGAAAGCCCTTCCAGGTAGGGGTGTGGTTGAACACAGCACACTTGCATTTAAGAATTTTAGGCAAGAAACTTCATAGACATGTTTTTTGCGGATCTCTGAGTCTTATTTACATTTTTTGAAAAAGAGTATAATAAGTGACCTTTAACTTAAAGATAATAAGCAGACAAAAGGTATTGTAAAAATCACTTATTGTAGCATTACTAAGGTTTTAAAAATGCTTTCACCAATTCTTCCTCTCTCCTGTTTGTTAAGCTGTAAAGAAATGGTAAACCAGTGAGAATGACACATGTAGGCCGCACAAACATTTGACCATTGATGGGAAATGTCAGCGAAAGTTGCCATAATTGTTTGGGCTCGTGGATGTGACTTCATGACCTTTACCACCACAGGAGGTTAAATCCTCTCTGCAGTCACTTTTCAGAAAAGTGTATTTAACATGGACCTTCACTAACACAAATGCAATGTGCTTTATGTACAGAACGGCTACCCCTTCAGGGTGGAACATGCAGTAATGTAAATGACATTAAACCATGCCTGGACAGGCTCAAGACCATATTTTGTCCATGGTAATCTGTTTGTTACATGATGTACAGTATTGTCTATCACATTGGTTCCCAACCTGAGGTTTCGGCCCTGAGGTGGTCAGAATTAGATTTTCACACATTATGTAAAATCATGACAACACACCAACTGGATAGTTTAAACAAATGTCTTGTGGGATGAACTAATGTGTGTAGGCCTATTCTGTTGGGATTATATCAATGAGAACGATAACAATTAAAAAATTATGTTAATTTCTTGATGACAATGTATTTCCCACCCCCGCCTGGGTTCTGAGGTGGGGGGATAAGCTTTTCTTAAGATACAAATAATAGGGGCTCCAAGGAAAAAAAGGTTGGGAACCACTGGTCTAACACAAGTGCATTAGTCCCTTTCTCCTTTCTATTACTCATTACAGAACGCTAAGACGATTAACAGCAGACCCCAGTGGAAGCTTCTGTCATTCCCTGGTGATGAACAGTATTATAGATGAACACAGAAACACAAAAGAAAGACAAGCTGGCAGAATGTTGTCTGTGACCTGATAATGACAAGGACAGGCGTGTTTGTGTCTTTTCCCAGCATAGAAAACTTCAGAGTTCTCCTGACAGGCTGTGGTATTCAGAAGCACTCCACCATCACTCTCTCTCTATTTTCTGTGGCCTGCAGTATTGTAACATGCAAGGTGCTAAAAGAGCCACTGAACTGTCCAGTAATTAGCATCAGCACTCGTGTTGATACAGGACATGGTGCTAAAGGATGGTACTCTTTAACTGTACATGAAAAGGAAACCAAAGTGAGACAAGGACATGGAGAGGCCGAGTGTCACAGAGATGTAGAGGAGCTGCCACAGTGCAGCACCGTCATATTGAACCCTTGCTGTATTCAACCAAGTTCAATTAGCCAACATCAGCCAACATTTACACCAGCATGTTAGTCACTAAAAGAATTAAAGCCATCAAACAAGGGACACAAATTACAATATGGTATGTTTTCTGTTATTTTCCCTGGCGTATTGTCGAGTGTTCGTCGGTGTCAAGTTAATATAACTAACTGCTATGCTACCTGCACATCCTGAAAAGCCTATTTCTTGATAGAATTTGTTATAGAATTCATCTGTTATGACTTTATGAAAGATGAGAGTTATACATAATAAGAGGCATGGCTGTGAGCACGTTGTAGCTGTATGCCAGGAGGCTAAGTCAGGTCCACTTGTAGGCAGGTATTCTTGAAAAAGTAGCTTTTTCTGTGAGCTTTGGCCTTTCCTACACACAAACTGTGTTTCAGGTCACTGAAAACGCACCTCTTGGAAAACTTCTTCCAGGGTGAAGATTTTCAGAAACTCTGTTGAAGGTGTTTATGTTTTAGAGTTCTGGTCATGTAACGTCACACTGTGTGCCGGTTTCTCCTCCGTTTGACAACATGGGGTCACTTTTTGTTCACATGAGATTAGCCCAATGGCAGACGTAACCAAACTAATGCTGGTGCTAACGTTGCTACGGAGGAGGAAAACCTCTGTAAAAAATATCCGCCTATGTGTGGAATAGGCTTAAGGCCGGCCTCAGCTCCAGCTATTGGCTATTTGTTGCTAGGTTTACCAAAAGTCCCACTCAGGACGATTGGTTTCTTGCAGCTTGCACGTAAAGTTTAATATACACACAATACCAAATTACAATGAAAGGCCTAAAGGAATATAAGTGAAAAAGAATGATGATGGAACAAATGTAATTACACATAGTTTCATGTAAACTTATGTTTTAAAAATCCACCATTCAACTTTCATTACATCATACCCAGTGTGTAGCAGAGGCATAAGTATCCCACCTTCAACTAACAATCTGTAAGTCTCATGAGTAATAAATGTGGATGACCAACTTTTGCTAAAACAACAAACAAGGACTTTTTCCACAGTAATGTATATGTACAGTATCAGCTCAAAGGAAGGGCAGCTCCCTCTGTTCTGTAACTTTCACCTCTCTGTGACTTTCTGACACATATCTGTAACCGGCAGGTGTGACCTCAACCAAAGCTACAGCAACATGAAGTAACAAGATACAACCTGGCCACAACACAAGAAGGCTCCAAATCAATACAGGGGAAAAAAGAAGCACTGTCATTATTTAGCCCAGAATCGTAGAAAAAACAAACATGGATGCTTCTCACTAACAGACAACACAAGTCATTCATCGACACTGACCAGATCACAAAGACTTTCATAGAAGAAGGCAAATGGCCTTTAAACATGAAGTTGTTAGATTCACAATGTTTAACTATTTAAATCAATATGACTAAAGTAGCCTCACTCTGCAGAATTATGACAAACATATGATTAAATGTTTCATTTTGTCTGATTTTTTTCCACTTAGCTGTAAATGTGTATACAATATTAGTGGACATAAACACTTCTCTACATACCACTGCAGTCCTTCATTTTAATACACCAACGCTACAAAACCACACTCTGCTCCGGTGTCCATATAACTTATAGCTGTGCATGTAATATATGTACTGTACTATGTCACTTTGTCAATTTTTCTTTATGGAGGCCAAGTGTGTAACTTGGAACACTGTGTAATAAAGGCAGTGGATGTAAATCATAAGCAGAGCGTGTGTGTATTGTTATAAATAGGTCAATACATGAGAGAGAGAGAGAGAGAGAGAGAGAGAGAGAGAGAGGGAGAGGGAGAGGGAGAGAGAGAGAGAGAGAGAGAGAGAGAGAGAGAGAGAGGAGAGGGAGAGAGAGAGGGAGGTGGCTTCAGGCAGTAGTTGCCACATGCAGGATGGAGCTTTCTGCTTTCTATGATATACTAACACATTACATGCATGTGTGATCACATGCACACAAACACGCTTCAGCCTTACACATGAGACCACTGAGCTTCTTTTTTAACAAATATTTTTAAATGAAGAATTTCATTTCTTAGCTGTTATGGATTATCAAGAAGGGAGTATGTACGCACACAAATCACACACACACACCCACACCTACAAACACACACACCTACAAACACACACACGCACGCACGCACACACACACACACACACACACACACACACTGTGCGGTCTGATCATATGATATCTGTCCTATCAGTCCACTGGCTGGTTGACTTGCTCTGCTCCACAGGCCACAGCATAATAGGAAGTGTGCATCAATCTTTAATGTGACATTTAAAACAGGAATGCACATGGACACACACACACACACACACACACACACACACACACACACACACACACACACACACACACACACACACACACACACACACACACACACACACACACACACACACACACACACACACACACACACACACACACATATAGAGAGAGGATGTTGATGGGAGTTGATTGACAACATGTAAATGTTGATAGGAATATGTTTGCACTCCATGCAGGAGGGTTTCCTGACTATCAATAATAAAATGCTGCAACGCTTTGGCATCTCTTTGGAAACTAAACTGCCCTTTACCTTTCATTTCCTGATTATCTTTGTCTGTATTGATGTCATCACCATTGACCTGTTTCAATGTCTTTTTTTGTCTAAGCCTTTTTTTAAATTCCCCACCTTTAACTTTCTTGTCCTGACTTTTGCATATATTTCCATTCCTTTCTATTTCTCCATCTCCTCATGCCCTCTGCTCCCTCTTCAATCTGTCCCTCTGTGTTCTGTTTGATGTTGTATCTATGTGTCTGCATTAGATTTAATTGAGGTCGCTGGGACATATGCTCTCATCTCTATGTGTTCTATTTTTTAAATCCAAATTAGAGGTTTACTATTCACTGTTTCTTACACAGTTGATTGGTTTAATACTTTACTCTGATTGGCCAATTACCCAAATAATCACGTTTCTATCCCTCAACTGCAGACCGTTGTCAAGAAGAACAAACTGTTACTATCAAGAGCAGGCGTTTGCTAAGGACATAGCTCTTATCACAGACTCTGGAGGATTAACTGAAATCACATCAATCCTGACAGTGCGAAAACAGATCATCTTTTAAGCGCTAATTTTAAGAAAGCTACAGAGTCAACTGTTGTAGATTCCAACATGCTTTTTGTTGAGATGAAGAAATATATTTCTTGAAATCAATGAAATGATTTCCAAATCAATGTGTTGGGTTTTGTAAATAAAATGGATTATCCAAAGGTCACATATTCTCCTCCTTTTCAACCAGTTTAAATCAGTCTCAGAGCTCCCTAAAACATTAAGTTTCTAGCCTACAATCAATTCTGATCATGTATTTTTTGCTTATAAACCCCTCTATATAACAGGCTGTTATTCAATCAATCAATCAATCAATCAATACAAAAAAGCAAGGAAAAGACCTTACTCTTTGTTATTTTACAAAGACCGGGCCTATCCATCATATTGAATAGTCTCGAATCAACTAAAGAAACTGATAAACCACAGCACCACATCTGTGTTTGGAGCCTGTAAGTGAGTTGTTGTACAGGGCGGTGTATGAGCTGCACACAGCCACACAGATGTACGACTGCATCCGTCACTCTACTTCGATTATTCTCCATGTCGCTGTGTAATTTCATGGGATGTATGTTGCACAAGTACACTAAGGCTGCACATACAAACATGGTGGGAAATGACTCCCCCGCGCACTCTCCCTCTCTGCTGCTCTCTCTCCACCCACACACGGGCACTCAGCATAAATCAGTCTCCATGCTTGTAATGCTGATTGACTGTGTGTCTTAATACCTAGTGTATGATCCCATTTAGCAGATTATCCAAAAAAAAGGATGTGTGTGTGTTTGAGAGCACGTTTTTATATTATGGTGGGTGAATTAAGGTGGGGGGGGGCGAGGTTAGGGCTGGGAAATATATCAAGTTTTCAAGATATGAGTTTTGGTCCATATCACACAGCCCTGGGGGGGTAATGTGTGAGGTATTGATAAGGACTCTGCTGGGCAGGTGGAATAAATACAATAACACATACTTCATACTGTGCTGAGTCAATGATGTGCTTCTACTGGGAATGCACCACCAGCACCAGTAAATTCAGAGCACACACCCCTATTTAGTCCTTCTGCTCACTCTAAACAAAAACACAAACACACACCTACACATGCTAAAAAAGAAAAAAAAAAGGTAAATGTGGACAAGCTACTAGAAACCCACATCTGAGCTGAGGGTGCCAATTAAGTGTCAATCATAAAAGTAATAACAGCGGGCAGACATCAGGGGAAATTAATGCTTTGTCAAAGCAAACTGGTTAAACACCAAATGAAAACATGCACTGTACGTACTACTGCGCTGAGTCGTTGAGCTGGTACTCGCGGGCGCGGCTGAAACACTCCTGGATGCCTGAGTCGGACCACAGGCGTATCATGGCGGAGAGCAGCTCGGCGGAGTAAGGCTCTGTGTCCTCCATACGACTGACCACATCACACACCATCTTAGCATCCGCCTGGAGGAAACAACAGAGGAGAGGGGGGGGTTAGCATTGTTAGAGTGTGAAAGGTTTTTTTTTTTACCACAGCACCAGGAGAGCAAGAGACAAATGACTGCTCCCTGTGGTCGCTTTACTCTCGGGGTCATAGGTTACACCAACGTTTAAAACCCAGCTGTCAGTACAAGCCTGAAGAAACAACACAACACAAAGCTGCTACAGGTTAAGTAGAGGCCTAACTCTGAACTGGGATGCTTTTTTTCCACATCCATAAGCTGCTAAAGCTGCCAACTCTGGTTTAGATCAGGCTTATTCATACATTTAGAACTTGATTTCAACAAACCTTCAGCAGAGCATTTCTATTGGAACACTGAAGCAGTAGAGAAAATGAGATTTCTTACAATAAAATGGTGAGATTGTTCCTTTTCCTTATGTTGTAAAAGGTTAACACACATCCGATCTACATTCGCAAGTGTAGCAAAATCATTTTCTCATTGCTTTTCTTCTGTTTGATTTATTGAAGTTGTCGCTCTGTGTTTATGGAAAATCTTTGGTCACTTTGCTACGACTAAAGCAGCTGCAGAGATCTCACTAAGATACAGCTGCCTTTACCAGTATCTTGTATGGATCCAGCTGCCCCCTTCTTCTCATTGCTTTTATTGATCTTTTGGCCCAGCACTTCCCCACCTACTTGGTCGTTCTTTCTAATAGTAATAATAAAGCAGAACACTGAGGCCATGACCTTTGTACTATATACTCATGTTTGGTAGCTTCAGATGTAAATAAACTACAAATGAAAGAATACTAAATGATTTTCTGTTGCTATCTGCATGTATTCTTTTCTTGTTTTTTAATCCTCACAAACAAACATTTGGAAGAGTATTAGATTCACAATTTAACTCAGAGTGTCAACGTTATGCTAAAAACATTCTGGCCCATGCAAAATGAAAGCATTGGTTATCAGGCTCTGTAGCAAAAATGTACATTTTTTTTTCCAAATTCTTAAAAGTCAAGTATTATACAAAAACACTTGACTATGTTTTTCTAACACTAATATGTGTCCTTAGCCTTTCTTCAAAACACCATCCTCTCTGCCTACTTCACCTTTCAGAAAATGTGTGCTCAAACAGGCCGTTTGGAGATTTTACCTTTGTGACATCACAAAGGGCAGTAACCCCTCCCCTAGGTAGGTGACACTCCCACAGCTAGATGTATGTTCTGCCCTCTTCTAACCGTAAACAATAGGACATGGAGCAGAAAGCCCAAGACAACAAAAACAGCCTAAAATACAGGTATGTGTACTGTATGTATGTACCTAAAATACACATAAAATACAGGTATGTGTACTGTATGTATGTACCTAAAATACACATAAAATACAGGTATGTGTACTGTATGTATGTACCTAAAATACACATAAAATAAAGGATCACAGTGGATTTTTAGCAAGAGACTTCACAGGCTCTGAGACTTCTGGAAATGTCTGAGCCAAAACCTAGAGCACAGGTTTACCCCAACTGTAATGTATGTGAAATCATACCATCTATAAAGTATGCACGTCTTACTGCATCTTTATTACATTTTATTATCTGCTCATGTACCCTAAGAGACATTTTTCTCATTATTTAAACAGTTTGATGCATGTTGTTATTCCTTTAGTGTAATTTAATCCACAGATAATAACTGGATTGCACTTCACTCACATTACAATAACTGGAGGTATGACCTGTGGGATTTCCCCCCACTCTGTGAATTGATTTGAGTTGATGATGAGGGTAGGGAAGGAGATTAAGGGGAGAGTAGAAAACAAAAATAGAGTGAGAAGAGGGAGGAGACCGAGCAGAGGACAGCGAGACAGATAGCAATGAGAGAGGGGAATGCTGGAGTGAGTAATAAGAGAGACAGGATGGAGAGAAATAAAATAAACAATCAAAAAGCAAACGGAGAAAGAAAAGGAAGAAGGAGGAAAAGGAAATGTGACACCAGAGGAGGACAAATACAGAAGAAAACAAACATGGTCAAGGAGAGAGGAAGGACAGGCAGATTTAAAACAAACCCCTGATGAGATGAGTGCAGCTGGAGGTCAGAGAGAAAATGAGACTGTGTCAGAGATGATGATGATGGACGAATCGCTAATGGCTGAGAGAGAGAGAGACTGGACGACTGCATGAGGCCACAAGGGTGGAGAGTTGAAATGTTGGAAAGCAGAGATTGATTGATACATAGAGGATGTAGAGCTGTGCTTTGTATGCCTTTTATTTTAGAGATAGGACAGGGGATAGAGTCTAAAACTCTTGGAGGTAGAGAGTAGGGAACTACATGCAGGGAAAGGAAACAACAGGATGGACTCAAACTCCTCTCCAAAGGACTTAAGCCCTCGGCACATGGGGCGTCCACACCAACCTCTAGGCCACCGGCACCCCAATGGAAATTCAATTTAATGCCAGAAAAACAGGCTGAAAATCTCAGAATCTGGTCTCAAGACCGGTCAATCCCTGCACTTCTACTGCTCATAATAAAAACCAAGAAAAAGAATGAATCTGTAAAATTAAAGGAGAAAATGCACAGCAGCTGTGGACACATTTTAGTGGATTGGGTGCATGTTATGGATGCTGTGGAATATGAAAGAGATAGTCGTTGTTCCCAAAGAGCAAATCCTTCAAAATGTGATTCTCTTAACTCCCTTACCCTCCCTTTCACTCAGCAATCTCATCATTACTCCACCTCCTCCACCTTCTCTCTGTCCTGCTCCACTCCTTGCTCTCTCACCTCTCTGACACTGACCACTGCTGTGTTAAGCCTTTTTTAACTCTGTCACCGAGGTGTGTGTCTGTGTGTGTAAAAACATGTGACACACACACTTCTAACTTCATCCCTTTCATACATGCACTGATTTATCCTTGTACATGTCTATATATAAATATATCAGCTTTCTTTCTGGTTTAAAATAATGTGTCTATGTGATGACATGTGGCACACTAACACTTACACATAGCCCTACAGGTGCACACAGCTTTTTCATTTTTCACCACTTTTTATTGAGAAAACCTTTAAGTACCTTCTGTGGTTATTTTCAGCTTCAGGGTTCCTGCTGTTCATTTCAATTTCTCTCTGCCCTGTTATTACCTGACGGTGTAACTTGGTTTCTTTTAGCCTCTTATTATTGTTGTGAGACCAAATTTTATTATCTTAGCCTTTAGTCATAATCTAAATCTCTTGTTGGCCAATAAATCAAAAACTCAACAACAGGCGCCATGAATATAAAATAGTGGTTTCAATAAAAAGGAAATACTCAACAATAAGATTTTGTTAAACACAAGTCCATCATGGATTTAAGAACTGATGTCAAATAATTTTATATTTTTACATCAAGTGCAGCTGCACAAGCTCGATCACCAAACTCTGACAAATATTCATCTTTAGCCTATGTTAGCTCATTGACAAGATGTCATAGAAACTGTATTGTACAGTATACTTTCATGTTCTTACTTTCATCATGTTCTTATTTTCATCAGTAACCTGATACTAGGGTTTTTAAATCCTAGTTCAGCTCCCTCACTTACAGTTCCATTCAGTAAATCATCTAAACTGTGTCCTTTGACAGTGCAGCCACCAAAATGAAAAAAAAAACAAAAAAACAATTTGAGTTGATGAAAATGTTCCTCTAAATGTCATGCAGTTATTACTGTACACTCATCACATTTACTGCAAGCTTTACAAACAGTATGCCTTTGTGCCCTACATGTTGCCTCTCAGGAAACATTAAAGCTGCTGTACCTTCAAAGTGGTTTTAGTGAGAAAGACCACCAACACTACTTTTGTTGTGTTTTCACATTAAACACGATTGTTATGAATTGTGCCTGCATTTTCTTCATTATCATTATGGTTATGTGTTCATTTTTAATCAACAGTTACATTTTTAATATCCTGCAGTCATTGCATGTACTCGTGAGAAACTACATGGCCAGAATTGTTTATGTCTTAGATTAATATTTAGCATATGATTGATAGATGATTTTTAATACCTCACAGTCTTGTTGCAGGAAGCACAGCGCCTTTTTATGTCCAATGATGATTCGCTGTTTGTGAGCATTTTTGCTTCACATCCTTGCTCGGACACAAACGGTGATCATCTCTGCAATCAACATCATCCCTGCCACTTCCTCTTCATCTGCTCCTTTGTCTTCTCGCCTTATGTTCAATATCCAATCAGAGCGCTCCGGCTCCTACTTGAGGAAGTCTCACATGTCTGTTATTGTCCTAAGTCTGTGGCCAATCATCCCTTAGGCATAGTCCATCATCATCAAACCCACCACCCGTTTAAATAACTACACCCAACATGTATGTTAACACATCCATGTGTGTGTCTTTTATGTCACGACGAGGCTGAAGAGAGAAATGGTAAATGGACTTGAGCTTATATAGTGCTTTTCTAGTCTTCAAACTACTCAAAGTGCTTTTACACCACATGTCACACCTACACATTCACACACTGATGGTAGTGATGATCACTATGTAGTATCATCAGAAGTAACTAATCCCATTCATACACCGCCACTGAAGCATGGGGAGCAATTCAGGGTTAAGTGTCTTGCCCAAGGACACATCGGACATGTTGCTCAGCTGGGGATCGAACCCTCAACCTTCCGCGAGGCCCTGAGGCCCCCGAGATACAAGGGGACGTTATGTTCCATTTATGTGTGTGTTCCATTTCAAGAGTTACACAGAAACACAACGAGCATCACCTCCTCTGACCTTACTGAAAGTCCTTTACTCATCAGATTCTCTCACCACAGTCTACTCTCACTTCCTGTTTAATACACTGCCTTGTAGGGTTGTTATGGATACCAGGATTTTAAACTTTGGTTTGATACTAGTACAAATCCCTCAATATCAACACCTGTTTTGATACCACAGCAACAAATAAAAGAAGTCCTGGACACCTAAAAGTATGTTTATTTATTCTGGTACATAAACGTTGCTATGGTATTTATGCAAATTTGACAGTATGCAAGAGA